ATTCGCTCACTCTCAGAAATAACATTCATATGCCACAAAAGATGCACCATAGGCTTGCCCGTAGTATACTATTCTACTAATCGAGCTCATTCAGTCTAGGATCAAGTAGAACTTTATTTTGTTGTAATGTAGGTTGTGGGACCAGTAGGATACATTTAGATATAAGAGTGACTACACCTCCCTAAGCACTTTAATACATATACTTTAACATTCAAACCCCATACTTATGTCAAACCAAACTCCACATTCATATCAGTGTATATTATCCCATACTTCTTTAAGCACAATTACATCAAGAGTCACCACTTATCAAGGAATATTTGTTTTTCATAGCAATACAACTATTTTTTTTCTTTTCTTTCTTTTTCAATTCAAGTGGCTCTTACTTTTTCAAAATAGTGCACCTTTCTCCTTATTTCATTAGTTCCACTCAAAAGCCAAACCATCCACCCCACACTTTAACTTTTACACAGTTGATAATAATTCAAGTGCTCATGAGAGGTTAGAAGGTTCAAATAGATGGTTAATTCAAACAAATGGGTAAGGCTTATAATGTGGTTGCCAAAGAAACAGGACTACAGGCTCAAAGGGGCTAATTACGATATATAACAATTAGGCGGGTAAAATATACATATCTGGCTCAACAAAGAAATGCCTATATCACTTTCAAGACTGAACAAACCTACTATTTTGATTTGCAAATACACGGGGCAAGTTCTAGGTATCAAATGCAATGCACAGAATAACACCCAAACCTCACACACACATGGCACATAACTCACTCAGGATTGGATTCATCAAGACACTTTAGTCAAAGCAGTTAAGCAAATTTAAAATCATACAATTTAAGGTACTTATACAATAGTCAAAAACTGAGCCTAAGCGTCACAACCAAAGTACTCACTATTCTCAAGGTATAACAAAGCCAAGAGATATTACTTCAATTCAAAACACAGCACAATGGCTCCTAATCCTAAAAAAAAATAAAACTAACTACACCCGGTTCAAACAAAACCCTTAAAAAAGAACCGCGGCACAAAGAAAAACTAAGGGGTAATAGGTACACTATGTAACAAAAGAAAATCTTTTTGTCTTTTATCTTTCGACTTAAATCTCTTAAGAAAATTGTCTAATAGATCCATCGTCGGGAAAAGTTCAATATTTTCTATTTAAAAATTAAAAAATATTATTCAATTAAACTAACACGACTAAAATAGCATAGAAAGTCACCCAGACAATCTCCTCACCCCACACTTAAAATTGTGTATTGTCCCCAATGCACACTCATAAATACAAGAGGGTAAAAGAAACTCCCTGGTCGGCTAAAGGCCGAAGCACTAGCAGCTCATGAGGTACTCAGACTTCTCCCAAGCATGGTCCTTTGTGTGGGCACCCCACAATTAGTTCTCACCATCTAACTCGCTTTTACACTCTTCCCATGGCTTTGCCTCCTATGCTTATAATCCTACAAAACAAAAATAAACACTACAACAATAATAAGATAAAAAAAAATATTTTTTTTTGCCTCCACCTTGAACTTATGAATTGGACCCCAAGTTTTGATTCTGATCTATGATCATGCTCTTGGGGCGATACAAATTATTGCGATCCAAAAATTAAAGGATTCTTTATGACTTTTGGCTTTCAACCGAGGAGTGTCACTTTGCCTAGACGACCTAGAAAATTTCAGAATATAGAGCTCATCTACCTCTTCCTTTGACTCTTGCATTGGCTCATACAGATCAATTTCTATTTCACCATCTGGACATAATGTAGAGAAGTGTTTGAAATGAGGTCCAACGCGCTCAAATACAAGAACTTCAAGATTTTTAACCTCTTCAACACCAATCACACTAGAGTCAACTAAATTTGTATCTTCAACGTCCATGGTTGACTCTAGTAATACTTCTTCAACATCGACATCTTCAAATTCTAGTCGGTTAGATTGTTGGTTTTTTACTCTAACCTCCTCCATTTGCACCTCAATTTGAGCATCTAATTTATGCTCTTTTTGGCCACTATCCACAATATTGGCTTGTTGAGCATTAAATGCTTCAACTAGTTGATTCACTTATGCCTCCAGGTTGCGAATAGCAGCATCTTGCCTTTGTATGTGCAGTTGTTTCTCACTATCTTATTCCACAAGGCACCTTAGCATATCCTTGATCTCATTTAGATCATCATCCCTGGGTTCTTTGTTCCTATTAACTTCACAAGAAAAAGAAGAACCATCAAAGTAAGGGGTTGGGGGAAGATAAGAAATATAAGCACAACCATGAAAGTGGCCATCTTGACCACCACACATATCACACACATTCCACACATAAGATTGAGTGGGTGCACATAGCTCGCTCTCGAAAATATTTTGATAATTTTGCAATGGGTGGTTTTCTCCACAACATGCATAAGGATCAATAGTAGAATTACCAACACCTAAACTCTCATAATTTCAAGATGTCATGTTTCTCAAATCAACAAGTAGAATAAAATAAAATAAAAAAATAAAACAAAATAAAGTTCAAACTTGAAACCTAGCAATATGTACACCTACGGCTACACAGATAGTTCCCCGGCAATGGTGCCAAAATTTGATCACGCCCAACTCTAGTCCTAAAAAGGATAAGCGGTCGCTGCAAATATAATCTGGTCTAAGAGTTCGGAGTCGAATCTCACAGAGAACTAAGATTTCGCCATAATTGTTCAATATTGCTAAGAAGACAAGCTCGAATAAATTTCTAAGTTATAAAGATTAAGACTCTTATATCTAACTAATTAACTAAGAAACTAAAGTAATAAATTAAAAACTAAAGATACTAAGGGTTGGAGATTAAATTTAAGAGGTCTAGAATTATGATTTTCCCAAATGTTGGAATCCTTCCCGCTATGTTCCCTACAATTTCGCCTATGTATTCTCTACTGATCGTGAGCACTATAGGTGTCGTAATTCTCTCTCGAGCAACTACAATAATTTACTAGACATATTCTCTCGAACTACGCTAGTTGGCTTTATCTAACCGCTCATTATGACCACGTCAAGGCTTTGTTATTTCTAAACCTACCTTTAAACCTGCTGTATTGATTTCTCACATACGTTAGGAGTCTCGTTGTTCAACAACCACCTAAATATGTATCCTTTCTCAAGCAACACATAATAAATAGGCACGGTCAATCGATGGCCATTCAATCAACTGAAATAAGCACGTAGTTGGACAAATAGACAAATTAAAAGGTTAAATTATATAAAAACATAACAAGAATTCATCCTCCAAGAGGTTCCATCAAAATCCTAGATAACAAATTAGATATTCATAATAGTATGCATAACTACAATACTAGAATTCATAAGCAATAATGAAAATAGGAAGAAGGAAGTGAAAAACTCGTAGAAGAATTCTCCGCCTTGTTCCTAGTGTGTTCTTATCTCCTTAGGTCTAAAGTGTGTCAAAAGTATATCAAAAGTCCTCAAAATACCATTTTTCCATGTATATATACCAAGTAGGGTCAGGCTCAAATAATTATACCTTCTCCTACGCGAAAAAGGACACTTTTCCAGGTCAGGACGTCCGCGGCCGCGGATTCAACCGCGGATTTTGGCCGCGGATTTTGGCCAGTTTCTGCCTCACATCAGCGGCCAGTGCACGGCCGCGCACTCGTCGCGCATTTTTCACCCTGTTCTGTTTGGAATTTGGAAAAACGTAAAATATGAAAGTTGTAGCCCTTTGAATTAGCTTTCCAAACATATATTGTGGAGCTCAAATGGAGTTCTGAGCGAAAAGTTATATGCATTTTACTAGACAGTGCGCAATATGCCTACTCAATTCCTCGTTCGTTCTTAACTATTAAATTTGATCCCCGAACACGATCCCGCCTTAATTCCTTGTGTTTTTACTCAGACTTCAAAGCTCCAAATCACTTGAATTCATTCTGTAACATCTACATAGCTCGGAATCACTCCTACAAGGTATAAAACATATAATTAGTGCAAAACACTAGCGATTAAAGCTCAAACTCAATTAAAGTGCAGTAAATTAGAATGTAATAAGCGACTAAAATACGTAATTATAACCTATCATCTTAGCCCCAACAAACCATGCTCTTCACTAGCAGCCTCTTGAGTTTGCACCTCAGGTTCAGATTCAACCATTGCTTCTTCAACTCAACCATTGGTTCAGTTTGCACCTCTTGAGTTGGTTCAGGTAGATACTTTGACTAAAAGATAGAAAATAATTTAGACTTATTTATGATGGCACAAATAACATAATCTCGACGCTCAAAATTAATTACGTAACTTTTAATAATAGTTTCACAAAATACATTCCTTCACGAGTCACTTCCCATCTTTCTGATAATCAGGATAGCACTTGCTACTCTTCTTTCGTCCAATAATCAATGACTTCCTCTTATCACAACTCATAATTATATCTTTTCCCTTGCTGAAATTCAGCAAATTAACTGAAATCCCTGTCGGTGTAAGAACCTGAACTTGTAAGAACTCAGGAAACTTTCTTCTAACGGTAATGTTTGGAAACTTAGTAGTTCAATAATAAACCAATGTACTCTATTTATTCATTTATATGGGTAATGTTTTCTTTAAAAAACACAAAATAGGTTAAATGTTGTTAGTTTCTTCTACTCCAGAAATTATTGCCAGGAGTTTCATAATTAAAAAAAGAAGACGATGCATTCCCTTTTTTTAAAAAGGATCTAGGGTCCTAGTAGGGAAAAAACCATAGATACATATTTTAAAGGATTTTCCGTAAAGGAAAAAAAGGATGCATATATTTATTAGTATTTGAATTTCAAAAATATTCGAGGACCTCGTGATAATAATAGGAATTATTTGACATCCATGGATAAAATCACTACACTCTTAACCAAGATTCCAAATAAAGCAATGGCATGAAACACATACGACTAGCTTGTGTAAGCATTTCTGTTATAATAATTTGACATCTTGCTTTATACAATGCCAGAAACATTTGCTAATTTGATTCAAATTAAAAGCTCATAAGACAAGCAAAGCTTTTCTCATATGTAACTTACACAATGTAACCACCATTAATGATTTTGACAACTAGAACCAATTTCATTAGTTTTACATCATAACAGAAATCAAACATTCCTAGTTTTCAACAGACTTTGCCTACATGCAAACCATAGATACCAAAACTACATACAAGTACAGATTATTTCACGACCACCATTAAAGCTCCTAATTGCACAGCTACAATACAATGTCCTTACAACATGGGTTCAAGTAACATAGTGCCATCACACGAGCCTTGAGTCATCACAAATTAGGCCTTCTTGGGTGACTTAGTAGCCTTCGATGGCGATTTAGCAGGTTCTTTTCCGACTTTGTCAGATTTCTTAGGCAGAAGAACCGGATTGATGTTAGGAAGCACGCCTCCATGGGCAATGGTTACACCAGCTAGAAGTTTTCCAAGCTCTTCGTCGTTCCTTACAGCTAACAAAACATGCCTCGGTATTATCCTGGTCTTCTTGTTGTCTCTCGCTGCATTTCCAGCCAATTCTAAAACCTAAACACCATTCAAACCATAAAATAAAAACAAACAAGAAACCTACCATAATCAACACCAAATCCAACTAATCGCATACTCAAAAATTGGGAAGGAAAAAGAAAACATTATGATAAACAAGAATGACTAATAGAACTACCACTTTCACAATCTTGTATCCCATATCTTTCCCATCTCTTCTCCACACCACAATCATTTACACATTTACACCTCCAAAAGAGTAGTCATTACACATGCTCGTCTCAAAATGACCCCAAATCTCTAACCAAAACAAAGCACTAAACCTAACCCAAATGTAACAAGAAATCAAATTACATAGTTCAAAAACTCAATGGATAATAGACCCAAAACCCTCTACCCTTCTCCACTTACATAACAAGCTTTCGCTTGCGAGGCAATTCGAAACAACAAGATGCGCTTTTACTACTTATTGTGAAGAAGAAAAATGCAAATTCTTTATTGATTTCAACATTCTCAAACATGATCCATCTTTTCTTAATGACAAAGAATTCAATCTAGGGCCAACCCTTAGGACCAAGCACAGCCTTCCGAATAATGAGCTCGTCCCTCTACTCTTCCCCATTTAAATACAACACTTAATTGACATTGCGTCAAGCTCAAATCTATGACCTAAGTCACAAGTCCCTCAACCTTTGACACTTGAATTAAGCCCTGGGGCACACAAACCTAACCAATCTAACAAGGAATCAAAATCACAAAACCGAAAAAATAATCAAGAAAAGGCCCATCAAATAGAAAAGCAAGCAGCTCTAAATCAAACAAAATAAACAAGACCCATTTGCAATTTAACAGTAAATACAAAACCCCAGATGGTAAAAATTCAAGCTTTTTTTCAGATTTACCTCGGCAGCAAGGTACTCAAGAACAGCAGAAAGATAAACAGGAGCACCACTTCCAACACGCTGAGCATATCGACCCTTTTTCAGGTAACGCCCAATTCTACCCACTGGAAACTGCAAACCTGCCTTAACGGAACGGGAAACGGCCTTCTTCTTTGGACCACCCCCCTTTCTTCCTCCAGCACCCTTCTTCTCCATTTCTAACTCTAAAGCTGTGAAGAAAATCAACCCCAAGAGATATGTTTGAGAAATAAATTGGGAGAAGTGCTGTGTTTGTGATGGTATTGAGTGTTACTGTGAGCTGACGTTTTAAATGGAAGAAATGGTTATTGAATGCAGGGGAGAGTTATTTTGAGTCGTTGGTTTTGGGGTTAATCTACGGCTGTGAGATGAGAGGATTTGACGATTCATGTGCTTCTCAATTGACCAATGAGATAAAAGCACGATGAGCTGCTAAGTGAGGTTGACAGACTGGATAAGCCTAAAGCATTTGGACAAGAAAAAAAATTCTGAAATAAGATAGGAGTAGTTTTTTGTCAAAATAAAATAATAATTTTAATTTTATAAAAGTTTGGCCAAACAAACTATAAAATATTTAAAAAATTATCTAAGAACTGAAAAATTGGGATTAAAAACGACCTTGACAGTTACTCCCTCATGCGCTTTTTTTCGTGGTCGTAATATTTGATTTTTGTCAAATAACGAATTAACTTTTTTTTTTCAAAATTTTTCTTGGAGTAAAAAGCCTAAGAGTATTTATTATATTTTTATTGAACAAATTAAAGTTAATACGGTCAATTTTATTTTTAATCAATGTTAAAGGTGAATTCCTTAATAGGTGTGAAAACAGTCGATAAATCAATTAAAATGTACCGGAGTGAATAGTAAATTAATACTCCCTCCGGTCCAATTTAAGTGATTTTTTGGCTCTTTTCACACATATTAAGGAATTTATATTTTTAGCATTAAGTAACAATAAAATTGACCATATTAACCTTAATTTGCTCATTAAAAATATAACAAACCGCTCCTAGGCTCTTTATTCCAATGGAAACTTTGAAAATAAGAATTTATTTTCTTCTTGATATCTGGAAAAATCAAATATTATGGATCACAAAAAAAAAACTAAAAAATCATTTAAAATGGACCGAAGAAGTACCACTCAACTTTGGAGTGAAAATCAATTTTGTTTTCCTGAAGTTTGTGTTATTACTATGACTCTCCCTTCAATTTTTTTAGAGAGTTAATATCTTGAATAATCACTCAAGTTTTGGGAATTCCCTGTAAAAATCATTTTTGTTTCTTTTAAGACAATAAAATCACTCAACTATCACTATTTTCCACAAAAAATACTAAACACCTCAAAAGCCTCGTTCTCATTTAAGGGTGGCATGTGGGCCGGGATCGGTCCTAAGTGGGATTTGCGAGCCCGATTCTAAGCGAGCCGGTCTTAAGTGGGCCAGTCCTAAGCGATCCCAGGCTTCGCGGACTTCTTGTTGGAACCGGCCCGGGACCGGGACCACGAACTAACGGTCCCGGGTTAAGTGGGTCGGTCCCGGGCCTAAGTGGGCCCAATAAATACTTTATATTTTTTAAAAAAAATTATACAAGTTAGAGAAAAAAAATGGTAATAGAAATATCTAAGGCAATTCCTTGTAAATTATATTATAGAATTGTCACCTAAATTTTTTAATTCATATTTAAAGACAAAAATATTGTAAAGAGATATTCAAAGCAATGCGTTATAATATATATATATATANGTATAGTATATACTATATCATACTATATATAAGTATATACTATATTATACTATATATACAGCTTAAGATATATAAAAAATAAAAGTATTTTAAAGAGATATTCAAAGCAATACGTTATAATTTTATTATAGCATTAAAAAATTATGGCAATATCTTTCTCAGTCTTCATCCCCCTATGGAATGAGCACAACAAGGTGCTAATACCACCATTGAGAAGAAAAAGAAACTAATCAAGATGTGCCAAAATACAAGTTACATATTAATTTACATGGTATCTCTTACAAATTTCATAAATCTTTCAAGGTCCGGAGAAATTTCCGTTGGTGGTGGCGGAAAAGAAGCTTTGTCATCACCGCTTCCAGGCGAAGCATCATCCTCCGCAAGTTCAGCTAGCATTTCTTCGTAAGCTTCGTCTACCTCTGGTTGTGATTCAGCAAGTCCAAAATTTATTCTTTCCGAACGAATCCAATCTCTGAAAAGCACTGATTTTTCCAAGCTCTCCCTCATAGACGCTCTATAATCACCGAGTTGAAGTCTTGCTTGACTGAAAGCACTCTCTGATGCCACTGTTGAAACTTGAATAGTTAAAATATCTCGGGCCATCCTTGAAAGAATCGGAAAGTGTTTTTCTTTGTCCTTCCACCATTCCAAAATATTAAAGGAGCCGTCGGGATGCACTTCCTTAATTCCCTGTGACAAATAAATTTCAAGCTCATTTAGTTGTGAAAAATCACTAGTACTAGAACCTTGAGAATCCCTGAACCCCGCCCAAGCACTAAGTGCTCTCACTCCCACAGTTCTTTTAGATGGTTGAGAACTAGAAGAAGAAGGAGTTGGAACATTTGGTCTAGCATGATCTAATGCAACTTGATAAGCATTATAAATTGTTTGAACATTTATTTTAATTGAGGCTATTGCGTCCGGAAGTTTAGACAACTCCTCATCTTCAAGTACTAAACCATTATAACCAGCTTCATACCAAAATTGAGGACCTCCTAATTTCATAGTAGGATTTAATAATGCAGCAACACCATAAATAGGGGGAATAGGGAAAAAATACTTTTTAAACTTTTTTCTCATAGAATCAATAGCAAGTTGATAAATTCCTCCACCCTCTGAAAAATGATCAAACAAATTTGCAAGTTCTGTAATATAAACAAAACAATTAGAAATAGTAGGATAATATTGCCCAAAAAAATTATTTGTAGTAATATGAAATTTTTTTAAAACATCTACAAGCATTTTAACATTAGCCCAATCCGCATTTGTAAGGTGCTCATCATCATCACTTATATGAGCATTAAACGTTGAGTTAATGGAGTTTCTATATTCATGTGCAACAACTAAACTTTCATACATGTAATTCCATCTAGTTGGACAAGG